ATAACCTTTGCATACACACAATATATATAGGCAAAATCTCTGTGGAGGTAACTTGTGGGAGTAGACCTGAAGATACGAGTATATAAAATGTCCTATGTCTAAATGAGTAGAAGATATTTCTTTTACTGAAGGGTTGTATTCTCCACGTCTTTAATATCTAATCTGTCATAAGGAGGACGAGAACCTTGCATGCAGCATCTTGGGAACTACATTCAAGAACCTAAGTAAATTTAAAATGTGATAGTCTGACTAACTGTCTTGTAGCTAATGGAAGAAAAGTCACTATCAAACACTTTTGGGGCGTGTTAAGGAAGGCTGATGAGGAATCCTAACGTTGTTTAAACCTTTAACACAAAAATACATAACAATAAAATTATCTGACTTAGAAGTCGTCATATTAACTTATTTTTTTATCCCATTTACAACCCCCCTGTCAAAAAATTTAATTAAAAAAATAACTCCATCCATGTACCTCACACAGTAATGACTAGCGCCACCCCCACCCCGCATTCACTTTAATACTTACATAGATTCCCCAATAAACATTTTTCTTGGAAACAAATCTGCACTAGAACCAATACAGAGACACAACTACATCATATTATTTATAACACATAAACAAATAAACATTTGGGTGATAAAGTGCTTTAAACATACCTTTAGGAACATCATTAAGCAGAACTTCTACATTTAAAACTCAAAACAGTGTAAACTTAATAAAATGCAGCAAATGGAAGAGCCCACCTTTGCCTCCCCTCTTCACCCACCTGCCCTTCACTTCAGTCAGCTGCTGAATGTCCCTGGCCCTCTCTCTCATCCTCTTCTCGGAGCTGCTCGGCTAGCGCCTCCCTTGCGACCCAGAACTGGCCTGCTAAAGTAGCTGATGGCCAGAAAAACAAACAGCAATACCTAATATTGAAATATATTTATATTTCTTACAATTTTTGATGCATAATTTACCTCAAAAAGGCAATATCTATAAAGACATCTATAATTAGATGTTTGGTCACATTATAAATTTACATTGATAAAGCCTCCGGTTTCTCCAGTCTCCATGAGATTCCAGAAGTTCGGTGGAAGGTGACAGTTATCGACTGCGAGAGCTTTTGGTTGAAAGCCTCAGTGGGAAACGAAAGAAGACACAATTGAGTTTTGCTTGTTTTAGTTTAAATTTGACCAGCTTCCCCCTCATTACTTCTAGGTGGGCTCCATTAATGTGAAAGCCTGTGATTGCAGGTTCAGGAACAAACCTACAAAGAACAAACCCAACTACTGAGGTGACACTAATGATTTGATCCCCTCAGGAAAATGATCAGTAAATGCAAGAGGCAGAGCTGCAGAACCGATAAAACGTATATTCAGTCCAGTATTTGTTGGCAAATATGGCCACAGAGTTCAGGAGAAATTACACATTTTTTAACTTTTACTTTTTACGCAATCCAATCATTTCCTGTGGTTTAGGGAGCACAGTAGAGGCCCCTTCCTTTGTCTGATTGAGCCCTCATTAGAGTTAAACCACGCTCTTTGTCAGGAAATGTAGGATTTGAATAAATAGCAATGCTAATAGATCCATTTACACACCAACAATGGGTAGCCGTGGGATGTTAATGGGTCACTGAAGCTGTGAATAGCCGATCACGAGTCAACACAAATATTTGGCCAGCGTAATCCTGAAAGTGACAGCAAGTTGGTGTTTGTTCTGATTATTGACTTGATTTGAGAACTGGGACATTCTGCAAACACATTTTCTACTTACTGACTCTGCAGGTGTCACCCAAATCACCTAACATTAACAGTAGTCTAATTAAATGAAAGGGGGAGATGTTAGTCACCTCCTGGTTAAATATACCTGTTGCATCATTTCATTTTTACCTGAGGATAAGACGACGTAAACAAACATCATGGATGACAGTGTCCTCCACGGCAAGTCTAGATAGTAGTTTTAATTTGATTTACGATATTAAGTATTTGTTATTGTCCGTCAGAGCAGCATGTGCTGTATTATTTTATGGGCTCAGTTCTGTGCACACGGACCGTGAACAATGCAGAAAGGACGAAACCTTTACGAGCTTGCTTCAACACAGCTCGATGTGGCCCAACCAGGAGAGGGCCCTTGTTGTCCCCTGAGGACTTTGCCACATTCATTCGAGGAGCAGCCCTTTCTCATTATTAGTAGAAACACTAAACGATGGGCTCCAAACAATACAGAACAGATCCCTTTATGTGCACAAGTGCTCAACGTTTCAGCGACCACTGTGCGCCCTCCACCGCCACCCCCACCCTTCTCTTTTTAGATACCTGCACATAAGTGAAAGATGTGGAGCAGACAAAAGATATCCTCAACTTTCCTTTACCTCCATTCGGAGAGACGGGCCTATTTTAAAGCTTTTATTTGCGCAAAGCCTCTCATTAACTCTGCTCATGCTGCCTCCCTCGGCTTGCCATCCCTTAAGTGGTGGGTTTTGTAAAAAAGCTACCAATTAGTCACTCATCAGCTCCAATTAGAGGAGACAAAGCCTGAGTAAAGATAACTCAATGAGAGGGAGAGCTGGATGGGTGAGGGCCGTCTGTGTGAGTGTGTGTTTGTGTGCATGTGTGGAGCCCCGGGCCCTGCACAACATAGTTTTCAATCATTGAAGAACTTGTGGCCCATTCAGTCTGACCCATTGCGGCACAGGTCCCATTCACTCTGCAGGCTCCTCAGCGGACCCTTTTCTCAGGGCCAAGTGTTGTTGTGCTGGGAATACAGGCCCCCCAGGAGTCCCAGAAAGAGAACCATTCAATCCCCTCTACCTGTTTGCAGCATGTAAAGCACTTAGGCCCGGGCCGATCTCTCCGTATTGTCTTTTTCACTCTCAATACTTCCTTAACTTGGGCCTCAACAAGAGCAGGGCCTTTCAGAGGGGGAAAACTGGGGATGTATGTTCAAGGGGGTGCCTTTCGCCTCATTAGAATTGAATTTGCTCTGTCTTGTAATTATGTTGAAGGGCAACGATGTATGTTTTTGCATCAAAATCTTCACTCAACAAAGGAATTTATAGGGGCAGTTAATCTGCCGCCCACACTAATGCATCAATTAATGAATTGGGTAACACTAATTTTCTCCATCCGCCTCTCCGTTTGTTTCTCCCATCTGGTTCAAACAATCCTGGGTAGCCACTTCTAATAAAATTACCTCATTAGAGCTTTTTTTTTATCGCAGCACAGTAACTCACTCATTCATTTGCTGTTAAACATTTTCCATAGAAGTGTGTGTGTGTGTTCTAAATCAGCGTTGCATCTTTTTGCGTGCAGTTCTAAATAATGAAGGGAACAAGCAGGGAGATATAATTAGGGACAAGGGGGCACTTCAGTAAATATTTGGAATCCAGCAAAGCTCGTCTTTGTTTAGTGGTGATTAATTACTTCCAGAAGGGATTTAAGGCAATTAAAGTGTCCAGTTTTCTGAGATCAGAGCAGCATTTTAAAGGCATCCATTTTTTTTAATTAGGGACAAAAAATTTCTCTGAAATGGGAAACAAAGAATCATAGATCTAGTTTTAATAGAAGGCAGAATCCAAGTGTTTGGTTGCTTCTGTCCGTTTGTGGAAAAACAACAAGTGTTATTGTTGTAACTTCTGTTTGTGACAGAAACAAAGTTATTAAAATAATCTAAACGTTTGATGTGAAATAAATTCAGAAATCTGTTCTGACACATCACTCATCACTGAAAGCTATTTAACTCACAGATAAAGACGACTTATGGTCTCAGTGACACAAACTGGTTAATTACATCAAGTCTTTCTGGGTGAAAATGTATTGATGAGTTAGGGTTAGATAATAACCTAGAATTCCAAAATAAACCAGAAAACACACATTATCCACGCTGATCGAACACTCACACAAAACTTTATTCACCATTGTGTGAAGGTTTAATGAGTTCACAGAGCGCCACACTTTCTCAGTGAAACTGAGAGATGACCGCCACCCAGTGGACGAAAAGTGGTGTTTTTTTATTTTTTTTATTTTTACTGCAACTGCACTTAGAATCTTTTTCTAACAAGTGTGGATGTTTTACTGCAAAACAATTTAAACTGACAAGTCTTCAAAATTTTGTGTAAAATAATCTTGACAAAAATATTAAATTAAAACATTTGGTAACGCTTCCCTTTACAGTCCCCTAATTACTAAGTACTTACATGGTAATTACATAGTAAGTAAAGTGTAATATTGTGTTATTAAACTGTGTAATTGTATTAAAGTGTAATTATTGTGAAAAGCATTATTTACTGCAAATGATTAATACAAATAACTAGAATTGAACCTGAGATACATGGTAATGACTGTTTAATAACGCAGACAAAATAATACATTTTAACTTACTATGTAATTACCATGCAAGTACTTAGTAAGTAGGGGACTGTAAAAGGAAGTGTTACCAAACATTTTTCTTTTACTGTGCTCAACTGTGTATTTTCTCCATGAAAGCTACATCTTAAAGTTTGAAGAGCATGATTATTATGTGTAATAAATACATTTGTATGCTGTGCACTTTATTGCATTCTGCTGTGACTGTGGTTACCCCCCCCCCCCCCCCCACACACACACACACACAATGGTACGTAGAAACGTTTTCTTATAAAAAAAACTGACCTGTGATGCACAAAAAGCCAGGGAGAGGAAGAGCAGGACTGGTTGTCTGTCTAGTGGCCTGTGATGAACTGGTGACCTGTCCAGGTAACTCCTGCCTAATGACCACTGGACATAACCACCACAGGATAATGAAAATGAATGAAAAAATAAAAACAAAAACAATAAACTTAATCTGCTGAAATGATCTAAATTCTAGAAATCGATCTATAAATCACATAAGACAATAAAAACTTTCACACACAGGTGTGGCGAGCACTCCACTCTGCTGTGTTGGCTGCTGGATGGTGTTATTTATGTAAATAAAGTCAGGATCACCTTGTTCTGGAAAAGCTGCACAGATGTCCCCTCCCCCCCCCCCCCCCCGAAATAAAAACAGAAGAACACATAAATTATGACTATTAAAAAAAAAAAAACAACACCAGCAAAACTAAGCCTGAAACAACAAAGTTTATGAGCTCAGAAAAAATCTCAACATCCAAAATCCGGCATGGAGCTCGGTGCCAGAATAATAATTCTCTCTTCAAGCAAGCCAAGAAAGTCCATTCAGTTCCAGCAATGACCTCATTAACTATGTATGCACAACCACAGACAGACACTGACCAGATAAGAAGACTCTTACTTAATTTAAATAACTACATTTTAATACGACACAAATCAATGCTGCGAAAAAGATTAATGTTAAAACTTAACATTTAAACCGATTTTATCTTATTGGCCGATAAAGCAATGATAAAATAAAACATCTGCTTGTTTCTCTGCAGCTTGTAAAATGCACCCCACACCGCTTTTGGTGAATTTATGTGACTTTTCCGGGAGTGTGTTCTCCACCAGAGGGAGAAGTTCTCCCTTTGGTGGAGAACACACTCAAGAAGACCAGAGAACATTTTATAAAACAGAAAAGAAACAAATGTTTGTGCTTTACATTAGACTGACTCTTCAGGGCAGGCTACTTCTCATGATGTATCCACGATAAATTATGTTTTTATCTGACTGATGCTGTGAACACAAAACATTTGGCAGATAAACAAGTAACACATTGCAGTAGTTCATCATGTTTCTCAATGTAAGCCATGCAAGGCTTTGGTGGTTCTGTTCCTTATAAAAGTTATATAACTAAATACTGTTTACAGCAGAAATCAGGAGTTTTTTTGTCAGAGGTCACCATCTAGTGGCAGAAAAACGTATTGCACCTTAAACCCCTCCCATGTGGCTGGAGCTGGAGGCAATCCCTAGTTTGTGAATGTGCACCTCTGTATGTAAGCAAAAAATTAATGATTGACGTATTGCCTACATTACATCATGGAACAAGGTGAGAGTATCACTTTTTAAAGATTTCTAAAAATTCACACGTCTAATTGCTGAAAGAGAGATAACTGCTGCTTTAAGAGGAATGAGTGAAAAAAAATCAGTAACTCTTTTACTGATCTGTGGGAAATGACGTGTTTCAGAAAACAGGTAAATCACACATACTGGCACCGTCAGACTCTCATTTGTTCAAAAACAGACACAAATGATTACACCATACAAAAATAAAGCATCTGTGATAAAAACGCAGACAATAAGTTCTTAAAACATCCATTAAATAACAAAATTTAGGCATGACAACGGTTAGAAAACACCCTTTAAAACACTCCAGTTTGGTCAGTTTGTTCTGTCTCGTGCAGGTTTTCTCTTCCTGCTCCTCCTGCTCCCCCTTTGAGGTGGAGATTCTTTATACTCCTCTCCCGAGCCCGTGTCCTCACTGTCCTGTGTGTCCCTCCAGCTATCGGGAGCAGCAGGAAAGTCATCCTCTGGAGAGTGCAGCGAGCGACCGTACACCTTGCTCTGCAGGTCAGCTATGTCGTTGCGGATGTCTGCCATGAGCAGAAGCAAGAAGTCAAAGGAACCTGGGGGGCCCTGGGGGTGAAGCACAGCAAAAAGAAACATGAGACAAATCTTTTTGGTTGATGAAAACGCTGTGTTCAAGTTTGGCACCATTAAAGTCACTGTGTGGATAATGTGTTCTCTATTGTTTTAGAAAACGTTAAAACTGGGTAGCATCTGTATGGAACGCCTGTTTCTTACTGGTGGTCCAGCAGGGCCAGAAGCTCCTCGGTCCCCCTGAGGGAAGAAAACAAATATTCAGTTTAGATGAGTTACAGTGGAAGAGAGGAAGACACGGAGAACAAATGTTAATATAGGCTAGCCTTCAAGTCTAAATTAGAAATAAATTTCAGACTTTTTACTTTGTAAAAATATTAAAACATTTATAAATTACTGTGAACACATGTTTTTTATTGGATCGGTTTAATCACTAAAATGTAGGTCACAAGAAGTGTGATGAGTGCTAATTATTTTAACTGCGTCGTGTCCCCACAACAAGAACAAACCAAGGATGAGAGTCTCTCTGGTTGAAAAGGTGCAACAGCTAGTGGGATGTAGCATAACTGTGTTGATCAACAGCTCTGTGGATTTATTACAAAATGCTCAACTAACAAGAAGTTTACACGTTCAGTACCCAGAATGGATATAGATGCATTTGACTGATGTTTTTGATGATCTTTGAGCAGGACAAACTGTTTGTGCAACATGCGTTTACCAAAGAAAAGAACATTTAAAACACATTTGGGTTTAAAAAAAAAACAAGTAAATTCCGCAAATAGTACAAATCTTTTGAATGTCAGATATTTTGGATGGATGTCCACATTTTAATTCTTGAAATGTTTATTGAAACTTTATGTAGGGAATGTTCCAGAAAGGAAGTCCAGGAAACACTGTTCTATTCACAAACTCTGAGTTGATTTACTTTGAGCAGGAAAATGGCGGTTTCAGTTCCAGAACAGCTGATTTTGATTAGTGCAATCCATTTTTTTGTATATTAACCTTCAGTTGAAAAGCCATCAACCATGGAGCCCTGATACACTTATTCACCATGGCAACCATAGGGGAGGAAATATTGATGCTGCAGTGAGGAAGTCTGCTTTAAGCGTGTAAAGAATAAATGACTGTATATTATAAAACAGTGGCGAAGGTGAGATGATGCCAGAATTAAAGTCTGAACTCCAGATTTCCAGGGAATGTTTGTGAGTGAAATCAGTGTGTGTGGTGTGGTGTGATGAGTTTTTATTGCCTCGTTTGGGATCGCTCGTCTTTTAAAATCAGACTACTTTAAAATCTTGCTGTGGGATCCAGGCCTAGGAAGGGAGGAAGCTGTGAAGACATGGTTAGAGATGAGCTGTTGTACTGTGATCCTGTGGAATTTTCAGCAAAGCACATCCCAGAAATTTTCATTAGATATGCGGGAATGATAAAACATTTGAATAAAAAGAGGGTATAATGCCCCCTTTGGGAAAAAAAAGAACAGAAACTGGCATCAGCTTCGTGTCTATCATGAGGGTAAGAAAACCTTCAGTTGGAACAACAGTAGCAGGATGGATGCTTTTTGTGACTGAAAGTGAAAATCAAAGTGGGGCACATTGTTCTGACTGTTGCGAGTGGTAGGTAGTCTCGGGGTCACACCGAGGCTGCATGTGTTTTGGCAGATGGCTTGGATTTGTTACTCAGTGAGGAAGATTACCATCATCCTCCAATCTATCCACACAAACATCCCAGTTGTACCAAGGTACTGACTGTGTCAATGAGGCAGATGCACCTAAGTCTTTCCATACGTTCATTTAAAAAACACAGCAAACATTGTTATGAGATCCAACAGCCCTGAGAAGATCAGAACCTCTTCAGCTTACATAACATTTTTGTGTCTGACTATGTTTGAATGTTGGCGGTTTATTAGCTGAAGTACCTGAACTGTCTCCTTTGAGTCTCGACTGAATTACAAATAAAGATAAATAATGTTTCGACTTAAAAGTAAAGAAACCAAAACTCACTCACTGTAACGTTGGCTTACTGCAGTCGCTGATCAAATCAAAGACAGAACGCTGAACAAATCATGGCTTTGATAGTTTGGGGATGGATAAAAGTGCTTTACTGCAAAAATATGAAAACTGTAAGAAATTGGGATTAAAAAAACAATCTGCACTGTAATTTCTTCATCTTTATCTAAGACCTAATCCAATGCTGGAGCTCTATTTTAAAACGTTGCCTGAGGATTGTCAGGTAGAAAAAAAAATAACCACATTTGTACAACATCAAGTAATTCAATGTCTGACCAAAAAGAAGCTCCTGGCTCACCTGTAGCTGTTAACAAAAAGCTGTACACTGAGTTTTTATTTTTTTTTACTGCGGATGAAGACGGTAGATGCTTTATTGTGTGTTTGCTTTAGATGCGACTCCGTTGTGTCCTGCAGGTAACGGGTCTTTCAACAGGCCATTGGACCCAGCTGACAACACTTTGCTCATCAGGATCAGAACATAAAGGCCTGTTGAAAAGCAGCTCGCTCTGCGGGTTGTATGTGTTTAGTGTAGTTATGCTCATTGATCCTGTTATGCTTATTTACTGGTGGTAACTTAACCTGAAGTGTTGTTTTCCTTTGTCTTTCACAATTTTTGAGCCCCCCCATACACCCTGTGGTCCTTCATGGGTGTCCATGTTCAGGTTTTTGTTCTGATTTCAATAGATTTTTTAAATAAAACTACCAAAACATCCAATCCAGATGTTTAGGACACATTTTTTTTACCAGATGTTACTTGTTGCACAACTCCTGGAATAAATCAGGAACTGTAACAAAAGACAAATAATCAGGATTTCAAAATCTAAGAAGCGACCTGCGTTTATTTTTTAAACTAAATCGTGACACTTGTCTGTGTTTCTTTTATGTACAAAGTTTTGAAATGTGGATAATTAACAGGTTTACAGACCATGACCCCATTTCATCTGGCCTGCAGAAATTGTAATAGTTTGTCCCACACAGGAGTCATTTATATCTGCTGCTAATAATAAAACGCTACACACGTAGGCTAAAATGTCCAAACGATATTAGCATCAGTAAGCTCATTTGGGATTAGCTGAATTACAAACCACTGACTGACATACAGCATTGCAGCAGGGACACCCTGCACATGTTTAAATAAAAACTTTCAATGGGTTTCTACCTTATCTGCAGAAAAAAAACCCTCAATTTTCTAAGAACACACTGATTCTGTTTTGTTTCCTAGTGTGTTAATATTGTTAGTCAACAACCATGTTTACTTAATTTACTTCAGTCTTATTTAGCGTTTGTCATTGTTTGTTGCAGTTCTTTAGCATGTACATATATGTACAGTGCTTAATGAGTGAAGTTACTATAAAAAAATCTCGTTTAACACATTTTGAAAAATAAAAGGATATATAAAATGTTTAGGACAGCAGAACTGACATAAATAAAAGAGAATGGGAGAAGAGTCTACGCAGGAACATTCTTACCCATGAGCACATTTTGTTGATGACCGCAGCAATACGAGCTGCTGTTTGGCACACCCGTTTTGGTCTCTACTGGTAACAACTTACTCTTAGGTAATTGTGATATCTGCCAGGAAAAGTTTCACCTGGGCAGCACACAGCTCAGTACTTACAAGCACATTGGCACCAGTGTTGTGCTTTTTACATTTCAGTAAATATAAAGATTTAGATGTAAATGAAGCTATTGAAAACTGTCTTTTGTCTTTCTACACTTGAAACGTTACTTTTCAAAAACTGTATAGTCTTTCTTTTATGATGAGACAGAATCAGCCTGAAATGATTTTCTGCTACTAAAAGAGTTATTTAATTCACTCAGTTTTGTGTATAAAAGCAAATGTCTCTTCAATAGTAAATATATCAGACTTTACCTTCAGGCCATTCCTTCCTGGTGCTCCTGGCGGTCCCTGTTGGGAGAAAACAAATAATCTATGTGGAATTTTTTCTGCAGATCTGACCAGTGTTTTTAGCCTTTTTTTGGGGGGGGGGGGGGGGGGGGGGGGGGGGGTCCATTTCTCATAATGTAAATGCAATTCCTGCTAGCTTCCCATATAAAAATGCACAAATGTTTAACTCATTATTTCAACGTTAGAAAATCATTTTGTCTCTAACTTAAAAAATGGAATCTTCCTCATGCTCCACCAAAGGAGATTATCCAAGATGTGTCGGGCTGCAGGGCTTTCCTGAGGCGTTTCAGATCAATGACAGACACCGCTTTGAGGCCTTTCTTGGAATAATCATCTTCAAAGACTTGTGAGCACATTGTAAGGGAAGGCAGTGCCAGTAGTCAGCCGTATAAAGCATCTGAGTTGCATACTAATCACTTTTCAAGTCTTCACATGCGGTCAAACATATGTGACCTGATGACCAAACTTCAAAAGCATGTAACTCCCTTTAAAGGTACAAAAAGTACGATTTTTACAGTGAAATAATGAAGGAGAATATTGTGGCAGAGGAATTAAAAGCTTGTCTTGTAACCCAAGGATTCCAAGATTGAGTCCCGGAGTCCCAGGGAGTCACTGATTTGTCTTAAAATATGGACTGCAGTACCCAAATTTGACCACAGGATGTCATTCTTAGTTCATGCACCTTTAAGTAAGTTTCACCACACCAGTTTGTAAACAAATTAACTATAAATATAAAGAGCTGTGAGTTAAACAATATATCAACATTGTATAAATATACAAATTTAATCAGATTTAAATTGCAACAGATACTTTTTACAGTGAAAATGCAGTTTTAAACCTGATGGCTTGACTTTCTGTAGCTTGTGATCTGACTGACTGCAGGTGTTGATAGTCCAATTTACCAAAATTCAGACTGCATAAACACGGGAGCTATAAAAAGCAGAAATATGTCCCAATGGCAGTCTCTTGCACATTCTTGATTCAGATCCCATATCTCAACGCAGTTGGTTCACGCTTGCAGTCAAGATAAAGTGCTGCATAAAAATACTGCAGGCCAAAGAAAACAATTTAAAGCTATTAATGGATTTCGTTTACACTGTTATTACCATTACTATCTGTCATTCTTTCAGAACTTTCAAATATGAGAGTTAAAAAAGATGACAAATTTCTTTTTTGTTGCTGGGCTTGTCAAAGAAAGCAGGATTACTAAATGGTTTCAGTTATGTGGGTAAGTAAAAAACCTACGAACAGGCATCTGTAACATAGATAGAATTTAATAAAGAGAAAAAACATTAATTTCCAGATGACATTAATAATATAAATAATTTCCATCATGCTCCTTTTTCATAGAAATGGCTTCTGCGTTCTGGCTCAACGAGGAAAAAACCAGCTGAAAACAAATGTCAGTAGATCTGATGCACTTATCAGAGCTGTATCAGGACTTAACATTTCCTCAAAACTGACACCTTCCAAAAACAAAATTATTGTATTGTCGTACAACTAATTTCACAGTTATTGAGCTGTATAACCACTTTGTCACAGTCTGATGAAAACCAAAACTGTCCATCTCAGATGAGAGGAAATTGGCTTGGGTGGTCAGAAATATCACAACACAGATCTGACATGAAGTGGAAGCTGCTGGAACATCAATGTCGCTGTTCATGCTCCAGTAAGTTTTACATCACTACACACCAAGGAGCTAACCTTAAAGGAAAGAAGTTCCCGCTCCAAAATCAACACTTTTAACATCAGCTGAAGTCCCTAGCTGACTGCAAGGGAGAACGTTTTATGGACGTATCAGATTTAGCTGTCTTTCCACAATGATTAAAGATATGTGTGCTTGGTACAGCTGAGTCATTCACCTCCAAAAGCATTTCACTAAAAACAATGTACTAGAACCATTGGAGTTGATTTAGCCTAAAGTGGATGTAATTACGAAGAGCAGTGCACCTCAGAATCCCCTAAAATACCCCCAAACCACCAGCTAGACATATAAAACACAACTGGAGTCCCAACAGGCTGCTGACCTCAAACACAACACAGCCCATTATGGAATGGACTAAGCAGACTAACAATAAGCTTATGCAAAAAGCTTTCCAAATTCCTGACTTTGACTATATAAAGCTATGCGAAGTGTGCTCAGAAGCTAGGCTCGTGCCAGGAAGCCTTTAAATGTAATTGAGCGGGAAATTCTGCCACAGAGAAAGCTTCTCAATCAAGAGTGCTTCGTGTAGGGTTTGAAGCCAGAGCCTAAATTAGAAATGTTGCTATTTGCATCATCACACTGACTTTGGGGCTGTTTGTTATACGAGCAAACTGTTGTTGGGGTAGAGAGACAACACTTTTAGAAATAATTTTAAATTTCATTGATTAAAATGATAACGCAGCTACTAGTTTCCTTACCTTTTAACAGTTTTTTTTAACTCATTTAACATTTAAAACAAAACAACAACAAACCCCCACCCACCTCGCTACACTGGATCAAACTCAAAAGGACAAACAAACAAACAAAGAAACAGAAAAAAAGCCAATTTTCAAATAAAAACACAAAGATCAAGCTTCCAAATAAATAAAAGAAACAGTCACACACACACACACACACACACACACACACACACACACACACACACACACACACACACACACACACACACACACACACACACACACACACACACACACACACACACACACACACAAAATAAGACATAAATGACCACCAGACAGCATTAAATCCCTCAGCAGAGCGTTCCAAACCATGCCCAAACTAAGCCTTCTCAGGAACGCCGATAAGTACGAGCCTGTGGGCAGAGCTAAAAATGCGTGGCGAAGTCTGTGGTGTCCTCCTTAAACGAGTAAGCACGGCGGCCATGTTGCTTTTGGATACTCTGGCATGAAAAGGTAGTATGGGGTACCAGGCCACTTGATGCAGGCTGTTAGCTCCCTGTGTGACTGGTGTCAGAGCTTGGTCCACGTTTCCAGCAGTAAGTCGGGCTCATTTACAGAGAGTTAGATTTCGACAAGGCTGCCCTTTGTTCATAACCTTTATGGACAGGATTTCTAGGTGCAGCCAAGGTGTTGAGGAGATCTGTTTTGGTGGCCTAAGGATCAGGTCTCTGCTTTTTGTAGATGATGTGGTCCTCTTGGCTTTATCAGACAGTGATCTCCAGCTTTTGCTGGAGTGATTTGCAGCCAAGTCTGAAGCAACTGGGATGAGAATCAGCTCCTTCAAATCTGAGACAACGGTCTTGAGTCGGGAAAGATGCAGTCCCACCTCAAGTGGAGGAGTTTAAGTATCTTGGGTCCTGTTCACGAGTGAGGGGAAGATGGATCAGGAGAATGCAGTGATGCGGGCGTTGTACCGGTCAGTCGTGGTGAAGAGAGAGCTGGCGAAGCTCTTGGTTTATTGGTTGATCTACGTTTCTACCCTTACCTATGGCCACGAGCTGTGGGTAGTGACCAAAAGAATGAGATTGCAGATACAAGCAGCCGGATAAAACCTTCTGCCAATTAAAATAAACATTAAATTTTTTTCTTTATTTTCATTTATTGACATTAAAATAAAAATACAGAACTAAATTGCTACAAGCCAAAATGAAAAAGGGGACAGAAAGAAGAAAAACTTATTTTATCTGCCCCTTTTAACTAAAATAACATTAATACAAATGAAACAATCATATGATTCTTAAAAAATTTGAACAATATAGTTTCTGGACTGGTTGGCTGACACAACCTCAACCCATGAATTGAAAAAAAGAGAGAAAACAAGTTACACAGAAAGAAGCATAAAGTTATAGCCCAATATATATACACATATGCATACAGTTGTGGTCAGAAGTTTACATACACTTGTAAAAAATATAATATAATGGCTCTACTGAGTGTCCCGTTATTTCTAAAACTCTGATTTTTCTCTGATAGAGTGATTGGAACAGATACTTCTTTGTCACAGAAAACATTCATGAAGTTTGGTTCTTTAATGTCTTTATTATGGGTTAACAGAGAAAAGTGATCACATTTGCTGGGTCACAAATATACACACAGCAACATGAACTAGCAATTTTGGTGACTTAGAAACGTGTCAGTGAACTGAGCTTCATAGCATGGCCTCTTAACTTCTTGTGAGTGATTATGAGTGACTACAGCGGGTGACTTCTCTTAGGCCAGGTAAACAGGGCTCATTGGATACAAACGCCCACAAATGCTACAATGGGAAGGTCAAAGGAGCTCAGCATGGATCTGAAAAAGTGAATTATTGACTTGAACAAGTCAGGAAAGTCACTTGGGGCCATTTCAAAGCAGCTGCAGGTCCCAAGAGCAACAGTGCAAACAATTGTTTGTAAGTATAAGGTGCGTGGCACTGTTTCATCACTGCCAAGATCAGGAAGAAAACGTAAGCTATCACCTGCTGCTGAGAGAAAATTGGTCAGGAGGGTAAAGAGTGAACCAAGAATCACCAAAAAGCACTTCTGCCAAGAATTAGAAGCTGCTGGAACACAGGTGTCATTGTCCACAGTCAAACGTGTTGTGCATCTCCATGGACTGAGAGGCTGCCGTGCAAGAAGGAAGCCCTTGCTCCAAAAGCGGCACCTTAAGGCTCGACTGAAGTTTGCTGCTGATCACATGGACAAAGATGAGACCTTCTGGAGGAAAGTTCTGTAGTCAGACGAAACGAAAATCGAGCTTTTTGGCCACAATGCCCAGCAATATGTTTGGAGGAGAAAAGGTGAGGCCTTTAACCCCAAGAACACCATGCCTACAGTCAAGCATGGTGGTGGGAATATTATGCTGTGGGGCTGTTTTGATGCCAATGGAACTGGTGCTTTACAGAGAGTAAATGGGATAATGAAAAAGGAGGATTACCTTCACATTCTTCAACATAACCTAAAATCATCAGTACGAAGGTTGGGTCTTGGGCGCAGTTGGGTGTTCCAACAGGACAATGACCCCAAACACACATCAAAAGTGGTAAAGGAATGGCTAAATCAGGCTAGAATAAGGGTTTTAGAATGGCCTTCCCAAAGTCCTGACTTAAACCCTATTGAAAACATGTGGACAGTGCTGAAGAAACAAGTCCATGTCAGAAAGCCATCAAATTTAACTGAACTTCACCAATTCTGTCAAGAGGAGTGGTCAAAGATTCAACCAGAAGCTTGCCAGAAGCTTGTGGATGGCTACCAAAAGCGCCTAATTGAAGTGAAAATGGCTAAGGGACATGTAACCAAATATTAGCACTGCTGTGTGTATATTTGTGACCCAGCAAATGTGATCACTTTTCTCTGTTAACCCATAATAAAGACATTAAAGAACCAAACTTCATGAATGTTTTTTCTGACAAAGAAGTATCTGTTCCAATCACTCTATCAGAGGAAAATCAGAGTTTTAGAAATAACGGGACACTCAGTAGAGCCAATATATTATATTTTTTACAAGTGTATGTAAACTTCTGACCACAACTGTACATAGACTTGTTTCCTTTTCACTTTTTTTAAATTATTTTTTTCTTTCATCCCCCGAACCCCCCTCCCCTCAAGCATTTATGTAACAGATATAAGTTAATCATTTCATTTTTAACTCTTTTTTTGAAAGTCAATATTTTTTTTGCATTCTTGATTTCAGTATTTAATTTATTCCACAATTTAACTCCATATATGGACACACTGTTCCTTTATGAGTATCCTATGTCTAGGTATATTAAATAATTCATGCCCTTTTAAATCATATTTACTATGTCTTTTTGTAAATCTTTTGATTAAACCTGCAGGTATGTTCCTTTTGTTTGCATGATACATAAATTTCAAAATATTGTAGTCCACCAGATCATAGAATTTTTATGTTTTTAATTTTATAAATAATGGATTGGACGGATCTCTGTAGTTGCTCCTTGTGATTCTATTGCTTTTTTTTCTGTAAGATGTAAATGGAATTTGTGTAAGTTTTATATGTTGTTCCCCAGATTTCAATGCAGTAGTTCAGGTATGGTATGATCAGTGAGTTATATAACAAATATAGTGAATTATTATCAAGTAACCATTTTGCTCTATGTAAAGGTTGGTTTATGCTTGACGTGTCTGCAAGGTCCGCACGGCTCAGCGCAGAAAAGTTGCGTCATTTTAACAACCACGCCCCTCCACCGCGCCTCTGCATGGCCCAAAATTTCCGCAACGCACACCTAGGAAATTTTCTAACCACGCGGACGGTCGGACGCGGAAAAACATGGCGGACCGGCAAGAACTAGTTATGGCAGAGGTTCGTAAATACAGACATTTGTATGATTCAGCTCTCAGAGATCACCGTGATCAACATGTTGTTAATAATTCTTGGAGAGAAATAGCTCGCACTGTCGGAAAAGACGAGGACGCTGTTAAAAAATGCTGGAATGCCATGTTGTAGACAACAGTAATTTTTACTTCTACTATGGTGTAGTGTTGGATGCATGCCGTAGAGCTCCATGCTGCCCCATTCAGTTTGGGAGAATATTGGCTCACCGCAGTGACAAGCCGCACGAACCATAAATGCTGTGAGTTGTGAAGCACGTTCCATCCGCGAGCCGCATCACCAAGCAGAAAGTGAATGCGTCAAGCATAAACCAAGCTTAACAGTGCAATAGTTTTAGATATTTTAGTTTTGACACTGTTTATATGCAGTTTCCACTTCTTTAACTCTTTTAATATTAATCTCATCTATATTTAATAAAATGTCATCCTTTGAATATGTATTACTAAATACCGGTATCTCAAAACATGATTAATCACTGTTTAATGATGGTTTGTTTCCATCAAACCATAGTTCAATTTTTTTCATCTCTGTTTGTATCACTTCTATCATCTGCTCAACATTATCTCCAGAATAATAAAAAGTTGTATCATCTGCATATAAGGTGCATTTTAATATATTGGATACCTCAACAATGTCATTTATATAAGTGATAAATAGTTTAGGGCCCAATACTGGCCCTTGTGGTACATCACAAGTAATGTTATTTATATGTGATTTTGTGTTGTTTATTTGAACATATTGCTGCCTATCGGTAAGATAACTTATTATCCATTTTAGGGCCATTCCTGTGATGCCATATTTACTAAGTTTTTTAATAAGAATTTTATGATCCACTGTATCGAATGCTTTTTTAAAATCAATAGATACTTATGAGATTAATTTTTTTGTCAATGGCTTCCGATATTTCTTCTGTTAATTCCATTAACGCCATGGATGTTGAACGATTTGTTCTAAAACCGTACTGACTGTCATTTAATATCTCTTCTTTGATCAGGAATCGGTCCAACCTAGCAATATATAATTTTTCTAATATTTTTGAGAATTGTGATAGTAAAGATATTGGTCTATAGTTGGAAAATATATGTTTGTCTCCACTTTTATGAAGTGGTATGACTTTTGCAATTTTCATTCTGTTAGGAAATGTCCCTGTTGCAAAAGATAAATTACATATGTAAGTCAATGGATGAATAATACTTTCCATTATATTTTTTATTAATGTTATGTCTAAACCATCACAGTCAGTATTTCTTTTATTGATGCATTTATTTATAATATTTCTTATTTCATCACTAGTTACTGGACTTAAATATATACTGTTTTTATTGCATTTGATATTCTCGCCTGTACTATAATTAGTTCTTTTTGGAATGTTTTTTGCCAAGTCAGGTCCCACATCAGTAAAAAAAAATTTAAATTCATTTACTATTTTACTGGTTTCACTAATTTCATACTGTAAAATAAAATCTTCCCTATGCTGCATTCCTCGAAATTTTCTCACAGTACACCAGAGTTAGGGCCAATCAGTAAATTAATGATATTAAAGTGCTATGAAAATGGATCTATGCAATTCAACATGAATAACACTGTAAAAATGATGGTTTAACAAATATTACTGACCACAGGTCCTCGAGGGCCTCGTTTCACATGGTACAGGTCTGGTGTGGGTCCAGTGGGTCCCATCATTCCCCTGGGACCAGGTGGGCCAGGAGGTCCCATCAGTCCTGAAGGACCCAAAGGCCCGGTATCTCCTAGAATATAGATTTTCTGTTGTTAATAGACAACTTAACCCCTTAAATTTCTAAGTTTAATGAACGCAATGGGGTTTTGTCCCACGGACGGGACACTGGAATGCTAAGGGGTTAATGAGGACAAAAACAAAGTATGGCTCATCTCATAACTCCTGAAATGACCATTTATTCAGTCTACTTGAAATACGACTCAAATATTGTTATTGACCTTTGTTTGGCCAGAACAAACTCTTTGAGACACTATTCCTTTACAAAGAGAGTTCTGGAATGTTCAAGAGAAGCTTGAACAAAACAATCATCCTCTGATTCCCTCCTTTTGTTAATCAAATCTCAATCAGTTTAGAGCCAGCTAATCAAATTAGACATATTGTTTTTAAACAGTCAAGACTCAATGTCTTGACGTCAGTCACTCAGTTCAGATATTCATGTTCATGTCATGAGAAACTATGATAGTCTGGCTGTAGTTTAGATTAGATTTCTCCCTTTCTCCTTCTTAATGCTCATTAGTGCATTCATTTCTAGTGAAAGGACATTCAGACTGCTTTATTGACGTGAGGATTAAATGTTTTAAACAACTCTATTCCTTAGTTTTCATGTATTACCTGGAGGTCCAGGTGAACCTGGAGGTCCTGGTATATATACAGGTGATGTCACTTTCTCATTGGTCATCAGTACAGGAACATCAGCACTATTTGACAGTAAGGCCATCTTCAAAAAGGAATAAAAACACAGAACAGAGAAAATGACCAAGACATGGTTGAACAAACGTTTAAAGGATAGTCTAACCCAAAAATAACAGAATTAAGTGAGCTCTATTTTCTTTAACTTTCAACTATTGTCAAATGTAAAAATATCTAACAGCAATTTTATCAATTGGTTCCTAAAATGTTTAACATAAAATGATTCATAAAGGTTTGAACTGTCAAACATGACAGGAAAATTACACACTGGAGAGCCATCATGTAAAATTATGCTAAAATTATGTAGCCTGCCTAAGATGAAAGCTGGTCTCAGCTGCACCCCATAATAATCTGTAACCAAACCAGATGGAGGCCAGGCAACCCATCTGCATTACTGAGCATGACCTGGAGAGCTCCTACTCTGGATGCTAAGTGAGTTTGGTTTTCTCTGATCTGTGTAACACCTCAAAGACAATCCAAGTAGGAAACATGTAGAACATTTAAATGTGCAGAAAGACCACACTCCCTTACACACGGGTGCAACTTTTGTTAAGACAATGTTTAATTTATTAATATCCATCATGCACTTTTTATTTTAATCTGATTTAATTGGGAAATAATACACTTCCCTTCTAAATCGTGGTAATCAAGCAGGGTTTTCTTGTTGTTTTCTTAATATACGCTGAACTATAAAAACACAGTACAGCTATGGGAGGCCTTATGCCACACAGCTGGAAGCAATAGCTCATATGTTGCAGTGAGAGTGTTGAGCACCGCTACTGACAGACTCGTGCAGTTACAGAAACAGGCGGAACTCGAACCCTCGGCTCGACACGCATTTTCCAACATTTTCATTTGTAAGGAAAAAGTAAATCTGTCTGCAAAACATGGAGAATATTTTTCAATCTCCTATTTTATCCCGAAGACTGGGAGATTAGGGTTCAAATCCTAGTTGGGTCACTCCAAAGACTTTAAAAATGGGACCAAAAGTCTTCCTGATTGACACTTAGCTTTAAGGGGTTGGGGGGGGGGGGGGGGGGGGGGGGGTGTTAAACCACCAAATAGTTCCCGAGCACGGCCACAGCTGCAGCTCACCTGTCCCCACGGGGATGGGTCAAATGCAGAGATGTAATTTCACCAGTGTGTGATGATGGCTATGGGACTTTTAACTTTATTAGCTTATAAACTGTATTAATGTGCCTCTCTAGAGTTGTAAAACCTATACCTGCTGTCGTTTCTGTCATGCACAAGCTTCTGAACATAAAGCTTTAAGTAACAGGAAGTGATAAAGAAAAAATACAGTTTATATTTAAAAGGGATTTTGCTTGTCTGCAGCCAACCACAAATCCTATTAGAAAAAAAAAAGATAGAAGCAATGTGGTGGAAAGAGAAAAAGGGTTTTAAATTTCATTTTCACAAGGCAAAAAAATATATATACCTTCTGTTTGAGATGCAGGACTGACTCCTTGATCTGGAGGAAATCTTCACACGTGGCTGAGCAAGTTGCAGCATTCATTAAATTATCACACTTCTCATTGGCATGGACTGCTGGGAAACAGAATAATGCTTTGTTCATGAGTTACTAAAGAAAATGAAAAAAAAAGAGAAGTGATAAATTTAGATAAAGGGGAACATTTAGGAGTGGTCTCAGTAGGGATGGCATCTATTTACTATTTTAATGAAACAACTTTTACCTTCCAAACACATAATTAACATCAATCCCTTCTTCATTATGACTCAAATGTCAAACTATGACAGATGTGAGGTAAAGTTTTATGATATTTTTGTTCTTTTGGTACAACTGGCCTAACTAAAACTGAAGTAGTTGTCACGGTTTGCACAGATGATGTTTAAAGTTAAAGTATGCATGATAGGAGCTGTGATGTGCTGTAATGTTATTTATGTAAAATGATCAAATTTCACCTTTTATATTGAAGGGGGACCCCGCATATAATTGAATCGGTAACGTAAATTAAGATTTAGACTATCTTGGTGGATTGAATATTGGTAAAAAAGCAGACACCAAACATCCTTAATTATAATTGTTCAGTTAAAATTTAAGTTCTTTATTTGAGTTTAATAAAGAAATAAATAGTTTTTTTTTTAAAGAAAACCATCACATCTGTATTATTATCGACTGTTTAGCCATTTCTTGGCAGTTTGTTTGGATGTTAAAAAGGGTTTGAGTCTGAGCAGAAGTTGAATACGTGACATGTTTAGTTCAAGCTAATTCATGTATCTACAGTGGAAAAGAATCACCCCCTTTCAAAGACTTCCATCTTTTTGCTCTACAACCTTAAAGCCACATTGTGTAATATTTGTACTTGTTTACTATCAAATTATGTGGAGCATTTCACACGTGTACTTTTTTATGAATAGTTCTCACCAAAGTCTATTCTAAATATTTCTATTAGCTTGAAATTTTACATTTTTATACGAAAACTGTGGACAACGCTCCATAGTCATGCGCCATCTTGAAATACCGTAGCTGTTTAGGGACATACAGGATACGATATTCTGGGTTTCTCATTTGCAATCTTAAATTTTAAAGCCACATCAACCAGGTTGTGAGAACCTGCTTTTTACACTTGCGCCGTCTGTCAAAAATCAAGCCAATGCTGTCTAGGACACATCTCGAGTTTGTCCTACATGCATTTGTTTTATCGTGGCTTGATTACTGCAATGCACTGTATGTTGGGATGAGTCAGGCAGCACTGAAGCAGTTGCAGCTGGTTCAGAACTTGGCAGCTACATTCCTGACAGGCTCGAACAAAACAACACACATTACTCCTGTCCTGGATAACCTACACTGGCTCCCCGTGGATTGCCGGGCAAAGTTTAAGGTCTTGTTGTTCATCTTCCGGTCCCTAAACGGTGGTTCCCCACCATATCTGGCTGGGCTGCTTCAGATGCATGCCCCTACGCGCTCTCTTCGCTCAGCTAACCAGGGTTTGCTCAAGAACAAGGCTGAAAACAAGAGGTGATAGGGCCTTTTATGTTCTAGCTCCAACACTATGGAACGAGCTCCCATTTGTTGTCAGACAGACCCAATCACTGCAGGTCTTTAAGAGTCATTTGAAGACTTATTTTTATCGTTTGGCTTTTATGTAATACAGATTTTTAGAATTTTAGTCTTTTACCATATCTGTTTTGCTATTTTAGTCACTCTTTTATGCAGTTTTAATCTGTCTTGTGGTCGCTTTTCTCTTTTGTTCTTTTAATGTTATGTTCAGCGCCTTGGGCTTCTGTAAAGGCGGTGGAAGGCACTATACAAATACAATTTGATTGATTGACTGATTTCCACTTTGACAATAAAGTTAATAGTCCCTCTAAACATTGTGAGGGGGGTGGCAGCCTTACTGGTTTGGGAAAATTCTTCTCCTTCTCCTTGGGTTGCTAGCCCTGCTCTAACTACAGTTGATCACTGGACTGAACATTACTTACAACTTTAGCAGTGCACACAGGCCCGCGGCGGACAGGGAGACGAGTGGTGCGGCACGACAGACGTGTTACATGTGGCAGAAGCAGTGTTAGGAACATTACTTTTAAAAAGTAATTAGTTATGGTTACTGATTACTTTGTCAAAAAGTAACTCAGTTACTTACCGAGTTACGAGATTATAAGAGTAACTAATTACCAAGAAAAATAACTACTTAGTTACTTTTTTTCATTAAAGAATGCAAGAAAAATGGGTTTCCCTCTCAATTAAACCTACTTAATTTTCAATAAATTACTACAATGGTGAAATATAAATGATTAATGACTGGAACATAATAAAATGTATGTCCAAATATTTTTTTATAAATCTGAATAATTTAAATAAATAATCACTTAAAGGGGAGGAACTACTAACAGGAACATTACACTTATCTAAACTGTTAAAAGGTCACTGTGTGATATTTAACAAGTTCCCAATCAGCTAAAATTTAAAATTGCAAATAGAAACATGTGTAAAGGTTCCTGAGCCTTTAAATGGTCTCTCAGTCTAGTTAAATTACAGAAATAAATGTAATTTTGCACAGTATTTTAATTTTTCCAGCTTCACATAATTGTCTGTTATTAGTAGCATTTCTGTTGCTGGTAATCTAGTAATGGTTAAATAAATAAATAAAAATCCTTTAAAATGACACTAGAAGAGGCACAAATCTGATGGAGGACTTATATTTACTAACTTGGATCAGACCCAACCACAGAAGAGCTGAAGCTGGGTGGTAAACACACACAGGTAGTTCTAATAACACCTGAGCTCCATGACGTTTGAGACTGATGCATCAGTGTTACAGCGGGACTGTATAAGATATGATCAGAAACAGGTTACAGTTGGATGATCTAGGAAGGTAGAAGATTGTGACGTCTGAGCGGTGAACAGGTGAACGGACCTTCGGGATGTCCCGGTGTCACGCTAAGAAGGGCACGGCTGCAGATCAACACCTGCAGCCGTAGACTATCAATCAATCAATCAACCAACCAATCAATCAATCAATCAATCATCAATCAATCAATCAATCAATCAAATACTTTATTAATCCCAGAGGGAAATTAGAGTTTCAGTACACACAATTCAGAGATCAGACATACATGGGCAAGACACACGACAAGAATTGGTGACTGTGGTCATTTGCAACACGAATTGCGCTACCGTAATAGAGATAAGAGGAAAAGGGAATTACATGAGGATAAATTGGGGGAGGGAAAAAAAGGCATACCAGAGTTACTCCCGGCAGGGCTTAGCTTTGCTATGCAAAAAATGCTTCAAACATATAAGCACGAGCATCACAGTTCACAACAAGAGACTCCGATAGGGAGGCGGGGGGGCTGGGATCCTGCTTCCCCAGCGGGAGCAGCCCTGTATGGCGCTCAGCCACTGTAGCCACAGGTGGGAGGGAGATCTTGGGAGGAGCGCAGAGCACATTGACACCTGCAGGTTGATCACCTCGCCAGGCTGAAGTCCACAATCCGAAGGCGCGCGCGGGGGGTGGGGGGGGTGGGGGTGTCAGGTTTCCACAGCATCTGTCTGCATTCCTTCGTGGGGGTTTGTTGTTGGCATCTTGAAGGCTGCCATGACGTCAGATTTGGATAACAAGACTTTGTTTGGGTCAGGCAGAGATAATTTTCCTTTATGCCTTCAGTCTGTAACTGATTATTCAAGTCCTCCAGTGAAGCCAATTTAGGTTTTAAACATCTCCTCACCGTCCGGTGACCCTCTCCGAGATGACATCCATTTTGCGCACTAATACCGGTAACGCAGCTCGGACATTGTCCAGCTTACGATTCACCTCGAGTAACGTCCCAGTCTGTAAGGTCACCGCTTTCCGTGGGTGTGGGTCACCCACCAATCTCTCCCGTCTTCCCAAATTTCCAGAAAACCAGATATCCTCCCACTTCAATCAGAAGAAATCCAGTGATCATCAGGCCAAATATCCACACATCTTCGACATCCTCAATGGACAGCTGAGAGAGGCATACGATCTTCCATTCCTTCCAGGAATCGAGCATTTATCCCGCTGTGTGTGTCCCTTGCCAGCAAGTGGGAGCCCCCTCCTCCGTTCTCATTGTAGAAAAAAATCTTATCAATCGCGTTGAACGACCAATTAATTAAATCCATTTCTAAAAAATAGGGTTTTCCAGAAGAAATACAGAGAAGCGCTCTGTAGGCAGACAGGACAAAGAGCCTTGGGAAAAAAGATAAGGGAGCAAAAGCAGAAGCGTCTGTACTCTGCGAGTGCCAGGAAGAAAGACCATTCATCACGTCTTCCACATTCTTCATGGGCCGTGATGTGCTTAGATGAAAACATCTGCCTCTTTAGTTCCTCATCAGCTGATGACAGCTTCAACACACCGCGCTGCTTAAAGCACGCATTTTCTTATCAGTAACATAAACAACGTTTTGATAAAAGAAGATGGTATTAGAATGCTCGTTACTGAAAAAAATATTTTTAACAGTGTTATTCCCATCACTGCTCTGTTGTGTCTACAGCATGCAGTGACTGAGACAGTGAGAACACTGAGGGTCTCCACCCACCCGGCCAATCATCATCGTGTTTGTAAGTGCATTACCGACACCTCTCTCTCCCTGGCTGCAGCTGAAGTGTGGCGGTCAGAAAGCCGTCAGAAAGGCGGTCGACAAGCACATAGTAACGCACAACCTTCCATCTCCAATAACGGTAACGGTGCTGCAACAGTGGGAAAAGTAATGAATTTGATTATTCCGTTACCTAAAAAAGAACGCCGTTAGTAACGCCGTTATACTTAAACGTCGTTAACACTCGACAGAAGTGGCCCACTGTAGCTGCAGATGGCTGATCAGACCCATTCTACAGTACATACTTTCACAGGACACGGGCAGAGGGCTCTCTAATCCTTGTGAAAGACGCTGACTGTAAGAAGCAGCAGAAACAGTAAAAAAACAAACAAAAACAAACTTGCAGTTGATTGAAAGTTGGTGTGTGATGATTTTACATAGTCTTTTGATGTATGTGGGCTACTGTAGCTGCAATACTTTCTCTGAAATGCATGGCACTAAGGAGTAAAAGGAATATGTTTACACACTGGGGCTTTAAATGGAAACACAAACAGCAAACAACTGACTAAGAGAGGCCAATGGCCAATCTGAAGAAGCTACAGGACTTCGTGACAAAGAGCGGTCATTCTGTGCATGTGACAGCAATTTCACAAGTGCTCCACAGATGTGGCTTGTTCAGGAGGGTCGCAAGAAAAGAAGACAATTCTCAAGATCAGGTTCTTTAAAGCTGGTTTGAGCTTTGCCAGATTGTACCTTGTAGATTCTGAGGACAAATGGAAAAAGGTCTTACGGTCAGGTGAGACCAGAGTTTAACTATTTGGCCTCAACACCAAATGGTACACCGGGCATGAATCCAACACGGCTTACTATCCACAAAACACCATACCTACAGTAAAGCATGAAGGTGGCAGCATCCTGTTGTGGGGTGTGTTTTTCTGCCTCGGGGATGGGACTCTTGTTAGGGCAGAATATTAACGTCACATTCTTGAAGAAAACCTGCTACCCTCTGCCAGAAAGTTGAATGTTGACAGAAGGATCCGAAGCACAAAGTGGCTGAAAGAGAAAACGGTGAACGTCCTCATGTGGCCCAGTCAGATCCCAGACCTAAATCCCATCAAATTTGTGGAGAGATTGGAAGACTGCATCCCACCAACACCTACCATCCAGTTTAACCCAACTTGAATGGTTCTGTAAAGAAGAGCGGGCAAAACGCTCAATCTAGGTATGTTGATAGAGAAGAATCCAAACAGACTCAGCGCTGTTATTAAAGCTTCAGGTGGTTCAACAAAATAATGACATTGGGTAGTGATACTTTAATAATCTCAGGATTTCTTGTTTCTATTTTGAAAATGTCTGAACTGTAATTGTGATATTTTTCAGTTGGATGTTTTAGGTTGCTTTGGATAAGCAAAGCTGCTAAAAGACATTTTGTAAGGCTGTTACACAAAAAGATTGAAGTATTTCAAAGGGGTGATTTTCTTTAATACACTGTATTTTCAGGATTTCAGTGTTGTTGGTGATCTTCTTGTTGACAAACCAACATTTTATTTAAAATATTCCGATTAAGGTTTTGTTAAAATGTCAACATATTAACAGGTGGCTGAAAAAGTCTGTCCACCATTGTCCACACCGATATTACATAGCAGCAGGACATAAAGAACCATTATAGTCGGCACCACAGGCTCTCACTTTCCAGTCTCTTGTGAAATGTTATAGTAGCTAACAGAAGATATTCTCATGGGAGGAAGCAGCAAATCTTCGGCCCCTCACAGCTTCACTGGCAACTGGATCTGGGGCAAAAATATGTTTTTAATCGCCTGGACTATTTGTGTTTTCTTCACATGTTTCCAGCAAACCAGAGAAGACCAGGAGTCAGAGGGGAGGCAGAGTGCTTGTGACTGAACTGTTCTGACAAGCACAAGAAGCAGGGATGTCTAATGACTACCAGGTGCCCATGTTTGTAGTGCCCCCCTCCCATCTTTTTTTCTTTTAATTTTTTCTGACACACACATGTACCATTAATGCAATGTGGTTATTAGCATACCACTCACACATGTGCCCTCAAAAGAGGGGATAAAAAGAAAAAAAAGTCTAGCTCACCTCTCTCTCCTTTGGTGCATGTTTTTCCATCTTTTTCCAGGAAATAGTCAGCCTCACACTCACACCTATAGCTCCCCGCAGTGTTGACGCAGATCTGAGAACACGCACTCATGTTTTTATCGGCACATTCATCAACGTCTATGTGTTGAAAAAAAAAAAAGAGAGCAAGAGATGGCAAATTAAAAGTAACTGATATTATTTTTGCTCAACACAAATGATATGAAAACAACAGAAACATTTCACAAACTTTTTGAATAGTTTATTTAGATTATTATTGGAAAACAGGAATAAAATCATTTCGAGATAAAGAAATGTTTTCTTGATTTTTGAAGCAAAAATATAACAGGAGAAATATTTGATGTAGTGCCATGAACCTAGAACATTGTGTGTTTTTTAGTAAAATTTAGAGAAACATAAACGTAGCTAATTTAGCAAATTTTAGACATGTTGAAAAGTGCAAGACCAATCACTTCTTTGATACAAATCATCAAATAAAAATCACATTACAAATACACATTGTGCATATGCAGTATATATTTTAATTATGTACAAATCCAACTTTTACTAATAGAGTACAAATGTCTGACATGAGCTCATAAAGACTAAGTCCACTGAAAAAGTGGCATGCAATTTGGACTAGGCAATAACTTTTAAATTACCAACAGATGATCTCTTTATTTTACAGAAGACAATGTAAATTATAATTGTAGACAAAAGACTAAGTATCTGCAAAAGATTAAAAAATATATGTACAAACTACATTCACTTGAAATGTTAGAGTTTCGTGTTTGGTCTCACCGAGACAGTAAGGCTTTTCTCGCCTTCTGTGGCGCTCACGATCGTAGCGGAAACCTGGGTAACAGGTGCACACCACTCGACCAAAATGGTCCGTACACTGCTGCTCACAGGGCGCACTAGCACACACGTCATAATCTATAAAAGAGAAAATGTTATTAAACCATAAAGCGCACAGAGACTATTATGTAAATGAAATCTGTTTTTAAACAGTCGGCTGAAGAACTTTAAGGCTATGTTACTAAATAACTGAGACATTTTAGGCAGAGCTTTCTAAAACTGCAAGTACATGAGTGTGACATTTGATTCTTGTTCCTACCTTCAGGAATGCAGTGGCCCATCACAAACTTGAAGCCCTTGCAGCATTTCTTTCTGTAAATGATCAAATTGACACAAACATTGTGTCACAATGCTGTAAGTCTTCACAAAAACAGATATGATCTGACTCCATGATCAGACAGAAACAATGTGTTGACGGTTCTCTAATTTCGCCCAGCGTGTTAGTTCATGTCTGACGACTCTTCTCAGAATTATAGTTAATCTCCTCTGCCGAACTCATAACTGTGGGCTGTATTCCATTTCTTCTAAAACATCTCCTCCCTGAATACGGTTGTTCTCATTTTTCATTTCCCTTCACGTCTATTTTCTCACAGAAATGAATTTAATTTACTTGACTTTAAAAAGGCATATGCATATACATTTTTAACAGGCACTTTTTTGCTTGCTGTGACTGCTTTCATTTCCAACTGCTGTAAATAGTGCAAATAATGCCGATAAAAATAGTTGGATTTGGGTGTATGTTATTTTACTTTATAAGGCCTATGGAGGCATTGCTGTCTTGTTTGCATGTTTTTGCACTCTGCTTTGCACAAGAGATTCATTTTTCAAAGGAATTCTCATGCATTGTTTATTACATTGCTGAATATATAAAGTCCCTTCATGCAAGAGCAGGTTTAAGGAAAAACTCCAGGACTACAGTATGCCATTGGGGAGTCTCCTTTGCCTGACGACTGTGAGATCTACCTGCCTCTCCGTCCGAAGGCAGGTGGCTCTGTCTCTCCACTCTTAGTCTGTTCGGAGAAAGTTAAGTTATGGATGGCCTCAGATTATTCGCATTTTATGAGAACAAACCTGAGGTAATAATTCTGACCCCAGAAGGATAAATTGCTTGGACTCTGAGATTGACCTTGCTCCTTTGGCCTTGTTAGGAAGGTGGTCAGCAATTTAGGAGTATAATTTGATGCTGCCCTCCAGTTTCATGCACATACCAATATGCATGTGCTTCTGTTTTTTTCAGCCTCCAAAGGTAGGCCAGAATCAAGCCCCTGTTGTCAAGTGCTCATCTGGAAACTGTTTTGCACGCTTTAGTCCTGTCCCACCTTGACAATAGTAATGCTGTTTACACTGGAAATACAAATAATGTTTATATGGATTTTTTTAGTTTCTGACACCTTGGATAAGTAAACATGTCTCGGGTCAAATTGACCCAGGAACATTATTGGTGTTCCTGATAAACGAACGTAACAGGAAGGTTAAAGGCCACAAAAGAATCATTGTTGTTCCTTTAACCAAAAGTGTTTAGGGATTTTTTTTAGCAAGGCATTAAAAAAAAGTGTGTGTGTGTGTGTGTGTGTGTGTGTGTGTGTGTGGGTGGGTGGGGGGTGGGGGGGGGGACACTGACTCAAGAAAGCATTAAAATAAGAAGACAACACATCCAAATTGTCCTTTAAAGGTAAACTATGTAAGAATTGAGTAACAGTGACATCCTGTGGTCAGATCTGGTTAATGCAGTTTCAGTTTCTGTGGGTTGCCATGTAGTGATAGGAAACTAAAGTTTATAAGTATTAACAACCATAAAATACTATCTGTGTTTTCACAATTATGAATTACTTAAAAAAAAGAATATACTATACCATACCCAGTATATTTCTACAACATACTTTAAAACAGCATGGCAGCTGATCAAAGGGATTACCAAAGATACAATAAAAAAGAACAGCATAAAAAATCAAATTGTGAGATGCAAATATAAAATGAGTGTTTAAAAGCTAGATATATAATATAGCAATATATAATATAGTGGAGAAAAAACAGGGCAACGTTAGAATCACAAACCTAAAAATATATATAAACATCAAACACGGTTATTTTACAATGAATATAGAAGGCCTGGTTTCACTTGGAGAATCACAATAAAAATAAAGCATATTGTAATTGTAAAAGCAACTGTGTATAAAAAAGTATAAAAAAATTAACTCTTAAAGTCTTCGATCTGCTGCATTTCTACACACCCACTCGTGCCCTACGTTCAGCTGATCAGCTGCAGCTGATTGTTCCGAAGGTTCGCTATAAATCTCGGGGTGAGCATGTCTTCTCATACGTTGCTCCAAACTGGAACTCTCTGCCCCTCATATGTGTCAGGCACCTTCCCTTTGTAGGTTTAAGTCTGCCCTCAAAACACACTATTTTAGCCTGGCTTTTCCCACCTGACTGTCTTCATTCATCAGTGTGACGCTTCCATTGGTGGCAGCTTGTGACACTTCTGTACTTTTTAGCTCACTAAAATTGCTCAGTTAGATTTACTTGTTTCTCTTTTATCTCTTATCTTAGTGCTTTTACTAGTTTTATTGTTAGTTAACTTTTACTGTAATTTTATGCCTTGCTTTTATGCGCTGCTTTTACGCATGTTATATGTTTCCAGTTTTATATTTTACTCCTATGCTGTCTTTGTTGTTGTGTTTGAGCCTTTCGCTCTCCTGTAGAGCACTTGGTTATCTGCCATGTTATTTTTAAATGTGCTTAATAAATAAACTGGTATGGTATAATTACATCTCTTCACCATGCTTTATTTATGGTAATTTCTCTTCTTTAAAACATTTTGTACAATATATTTTATCATGAGTAATGTCATTTAGAGACTATATAATAATCAATTATAAATATATCTATATCTATCTATCTATCTATCTATCTATCTATCTATCTATCTATCTATCTATCTATCTATCTATCTATCTATCTATCTATCTATCTATCTATCATCTATCTATCATCTATCTATCTATCTATCTATCTATATATAGATATATAGATAATTGAATTTCCAGAACTCCATTTAATCTGCTGAAACACCTCACGGACGATCAGTGGAAACAGAATGCACCTCAGCTCAATTCTGAGCTTCACGTCAAAGGCTGTGAATACTTATGTTCCTGTGATTTCTCAAGTTTTTTATTTTTAATAAATTTGCAACAACTTTAAAGACACTTTTTTCACATTATCATTATGGGGTGTTGTGTGTTGAATTTAATGGGCAAAATGTATTTAATCCATTTTGGAATGAGGCTGTAACATAAACAAAAAAGTGGAATAAGTGAAGCGCTATGAATAATTTCCAGATGCACTGTACTATATTCAGGATGCTGTGGGCCTTTCGAATTATGTCCCATTAAATTGTTTAACGTTCTCCATATGTCCTGAACATTTTTTTCTTACTGTTAAGTTATTTTGTATAATATATTTTTTTCTGTCTCTTAAAACATTTGTCAATTGATTTTTGCATGCTTTATTATTTTTGCACTTTTATTTCAATTCCATTTCCGTGGTCTGTAATTTAAGAAATTGTTTGTATAATTATTTTTCTTACATGCATTTAGCAGCCCTTGTGCAATCCACTGAGTTCTTGATGCCTTTCTCCAATCCCTTTTTCTCAGGCGGGCATGTGTGTTATAAACCTTTATGAAAACTTCCATAAAAATCTATAGGCTTTATTTACATCTGACTCAGAATAAGTTTTTCTTTAGGTCTCTGAATGACTGCTCTGTTTTACACCTACAGTATGAAACATTATTATGTTCCATCATTTTATGATTTGTTTCATAAACTAGGCCACTTCCTGCTCCATTTGAACATGTACACACTCGAATTCTTTAATTGTATGACAATCCTTGTGGCGTCCAGAAAAAATTGACTCCATGTGGAAACTTTCCAGAACTTCTCATCTGGATGCACATCACAGCTGGTGTAAATGCTCTGATTGGGACTAAAATATCGCTGAACTACGAGAAACTGTACAACATCCATTTTGCATTTGATGAGAACGAGGCTTCATGCAATCTCTCAGTGGCAGAGCATTAAGCAGCTACTCTGGTTTATCTTCATGTAGCTGTTGTTTATGTCTTTTTTCCCTCTTTTCATTGATTAAAAAGTGGGTTTATTATTCATTTGGGTAGGGCCATGTGGCCTAAAATCTGTATCCTGATATAATATTTTCTTTTGTTTATACAAGTCCAAATTTATTTATTTTTTAACATTCTCACTTACCAGATGAATTGCAGCAGCACAAATACTTCTAAAAAGTAGTAATGCACCGATATGAAATGTTTGGCCCGATACCGATATCCGATATTACTGTTATACTGTAATATCTGTGGCTGTTATACTGTTATGGCCGATAACCGATATTTGCCGATATCGATATACTGACATTAATGCGTCCAAAATCAGCAGATTTTCTGTAAAATAAAAACTATTAAAGCTGAATTTACCTTATTATGTACACACAACACACACATATTTACGCTTCTGAGATGATTACAATCACTGTGACATGACTAAACAAATACACATCGCCGCCCTCACCCTCTGAAACAGGCAAACAAATGGTGATGAGATGGAAAAAATATTGCTTGATAATATCGGCCCGTTTTTTTTAAAATCAGATCGATACCGATATGTTAAAAAATGACTAACTTTGGCCGATACCGATGCCGATATGTCGTCCATCCCTACTAAAAAGTATAGAATGTAATTTAAAAAACATTTCATGCGCAAAATTAAATAAATAAATACATTCAAATTATCTGTGTTTTGTTAGGATTTTTTTCCTAAACAATGCAACACAAAAATCCTCATAAAGGGAATACAGCTGACGATATTTCAAATACAAGCTAAATGCGATGAAAACACAAAATTCTGTACTGAAGTGAAAAAAGTAAATTCAGAAATAACATTTCTTCCTGTTTTCCTGGTTAATATACCCATTATTCGTTTTTTATTTATTTATTTATTTTTGCTCACAGAAGTTAAGTGTTGCTTAACTGCAGGTAAAACAATGCTGTGCTGCGTTGTTGACAATATTAAATAGGTTTAGAGGTTAACTCTGTTTGTTGCTCTGATCAGCTGATTGACCATTCTGACTGTGGTGCACATAGAGTAAGGGAGAGAGAGATGGTGGTAGGGAGAGGTGCTGCAGACTGGTGCTTTATTAATAAATGGAAAAAAGCTTCAACTACAGAAGTAGATTTGTTCAAACTAAATCACGGCAGATGTCAAAAATGTTTTCAAGCCTATGTGTTGGTCCTGTGTTAAAA